ACGGTCTTCATTCTGCAGCTCAACCTCACACTCATCGTGCCCGTGCTCACTGCCGGTAGGCTGGGTGCTGCTGTGTGGGCAGTGAGCACAGTATGATGAGTGCTGGCTTTGGTATGCATGTCGCTTGGTTCTCTCTTCTTCCTTCTCTCTCCTGCCTGCTCGCCGCTCAGAAGCTGGAGTCCATGGTCTTCATCCTGCAGCTTAACCCTGAACGCAGGGTTGAGCTCATCGTGCAACTCCTGCTCATTGCTCTACATGCGTCTACACTACATTGTTCTCTCTCTGTGTCAGCAGCGTCTCAAGTCGGCATGATGATGCCGGGCTACGTGTGGATAGCCACAGAGGGAGAGACGTGGGAGCTGGAGAACCTGCCGGAGCTCTCCACCCTCTCTTCCCATGCCTTCACCCCCCATGCCTTCTCCACCTCCCTCTCTCACAACAACAGCATCCGAGGTGGGCATGATGACGCCCGACTATGTGTGGATAGCCACAGAGGGAGTGGTGTTGGAGTTAGAGAACCTGCCGGAGCTCTCCACCGAAGGGATGATCAGCACACGCGTCCTCGTGCCGCCCAACCCCCAGCCTTGGGGGCTGGAGAACCTGTAACGAAAAGCACAGCAACAAACAAACACCTCCGTGCCTCTCTCTGCCCGCTCTCTCCCTCACCCGTGAGCAGCTTCAGAAGTTGGAATGATGACGCCAGGTTACGTATGGATCGCAACCGAAGGGGTGGTGTCGGAGCTGGAGAACCTGCCGGAGCTCTCCACCGAAGGGATGATCGGAACGCGTGTCTTCGTGCCGCCCAACCCCCAGCTGTCTGAGTTTGAGCGCGCATGGCAGGTGGACGGGGACGTGAACATGACCAATGGTGGTGCGGCCGCTGATCAGGTGAGAAACGAAGGGAGATGGGGGGGGGGGGGGGGGAGAGGGGGAGGGGGGGGTGCCTCAAGAGCTGTCTGAGTTTGAGCGCGCAGACGGATGGGGAGGGGAATGCAACCAACGGTGGTGCGGCCTTTGATCAGGTGAGAAACGAAGGGAGAACGGAGGGGGGGGGGGGTTGAGGCGCCTCAAGAGCTGTCTGAGTTTGAGCGCGCGTGGCAGGCGGATGGGGAGGGGAATGCAACCAACGGTGCAGCCGCGTTTGACGAGGTGAGAACGAAGAGGGGAAGAGGGCGGGTGGAGTTTTGAGGCGACACCCACGACTCTCTCTCCCTCATCGCCTGCGCCATACACTCGCTGGTCTACCCCAAGCTGTTTCCCATTCCCAGCCCTTCTCTCTTTCTCACCCCTCCCTCCCCACCATTCTTCCCTTTTTGTTCCCCCTGTCACCCCTTTTCCCCCATGCTCCCCCCTGCGGACCACTCTCTACACGCTCTTTGCCTACGATTCTCTCTCCCTTATCACACACTCCATCCACGCGCACCTCTACCCCAACTCCCCGCCTTCCTTCCCAACTCTTCTCTCTCTCACCCCTGTCCCCCCACTGGTCCCTCGATCCTGTCCCCCTTTACCCCAAACCCCCCACTCCCCCACCTGCAGACCTCTCTCTACATGCTCTTTGCCTACGATTCCCTCTCCATTATCGCACACTCCATCCACGCTCTTCTCTACCCCAACTCCCCACCCCCCATCAACGCCCCTCCTCCTTCTGCTGCCAACGGCAACGCCAGTGACAGTGGCAGCAGCGTTAATAGCACCGGGAGGCTGGCAGGAGCAGAAGCAGCAACAGGGGGAGTGGGGGCGGTGGCGGGGGGTACGAGTGGGGGAGTGGTGGGTTTAGAGCGGTGGCAAGCGGTGGAGTTGCCAAAAGGAGGGGGGGCGTCTACTGACCTGGCACGGCTGCTGGAGAATCTTGGTGCGTGCATGATAGGGAGTGCGAGTGAGTGCATGATAGGGAGTGCGAGTGAGTGCATGATAGGGAGTGCGAGTGAGTGCATGATAGGGAGTGCGAGTGAGTGCATGATAGGGAGTGCGAGTGAGTGCATGATAGGGAGTGCGAGTGAGTGCATGATAGGGAGTGCGAGTGAGTGCATGATAGGGAGTGCGAGTGAGTGCATTATAGGGAGTGCGAGTGAGTGCATTATAGGGAGTGCGAGTGAGTGTACGACCACCCACTCCCTTGCCATTCTGGCTCGCATGTGTGCTTCCTCCTCCTCTCTCCTTCTGTCTGAGGCGGACCCTCTCAGATGGTTCGGATATTTTGTTTGCCACTCCCATCATGTGAGCATGGTTGCTGACTGGACGTGACTGCTGCGGTTACTCAGTAACATGCTAGTCCGTTCTCCTTGTTCCCTATGCCTTCACCTGTCCTCTCAAATGGTTTCGAATCTCATGTTTGCCACTGCCATCAGGCGAGCATGGTTGCTGTGTTTTGAGTTGACTCAAAAAGAAAAGACTGAGTCGATTCTGACGGGACGTGGCTGCTGCGGTCGCACTGCGACTTTTGAGGCGCCTCAAAACTCAAAAAGACTGAGTCGATTCTGACGGGACGTGGCTGCTGCGGTCGCACTGCGACTTTTGAGGCGCCTCAAAACTCAAAAAGACAGTCGATTCTGACGGGACGTGGCTGCTGCGGTCGCACTGCGACTTTTGAGGCGCCTCAAAACTCAAAAAGACTGAGTCGATTCTGACGGGACGTGGCTGCTGCGGTCGCACTGCGACTTTTGAGGCGCCTCAAAACTCAAAAAGACTGAGTCGATTCTGACGGGACGAGGCTGCTACGGTCGCACTGCGACTTTTGAGGCGCCTCAAAACTCAAAAAGACTGAGTCGATTCTGACGGGACGTGGCTGCTGCGGTCGCACTGCGACTATTGAGGCTATGATGGATTATACGCGTTTAGCGTATATATGCGTATCGTATATACGCTAGCGTGTATACGCCATACGCTTGAGGGTCGGATCAGGCATACGCTTTTTCGGGCAGGGAAAAAACATTTCGGGCAGGGTGGAAAAAATCCCTATCGGTGGAAAAAACATCTCACTAAGACGCGCCCTAGCATTTTCCTGAGTCTGATCGGCGGGTGGGGTGGGGCGGGGAGTAAACATCATAGCTATAGGGAGTAGTGTTGGAGAGGCCGTTCAAGTTGGAGTGCGCGTGCGGGGACACTGCTGCAAAGCGGGAATGCAAGGTAGGAATGACGGGTTAGGAGTTGGGCTGGCTGGTAAGTAGCGTGAGGTTTGTTGGGGGTTCGATTTTGATAGGTTGGAGTTCGTAGATAAGATGGTTTTCAATGCGGTAGAGGGGATGGGTTCAAATGCCTAGATGGGACCTGAAATTCGACATTTGAATAGCCAGATCTGCCTGAAAACTTCGAAGTCAGATCCCAGCTTGCATAGACCGCGGATTTGCATTTCGACTCCGGCGAAATGTTCACCAAGAAAATCCGCATCTTTTCCCGATTTTACTTTTCCGGGCTGCCCGAAAAAAAATATGGCTGCGTATTGCGTATTTGCTAGCGTTTAGCGTATTGCGTGTACACGCTAGCGTAGATACGCTAAACGCAAAGGGTCTAGAGCGTATAATCCAACATAGTATTGAGGCGCCTCAAAACTCAAAAAGACTGAGTCGATTCTGACGGGACGTGGCTGCTGCGGTCGCACTGCGACTTTTGAGGCGCCTCAAAACTAAAAAAGACTGAGTCGATTCTGACGGGACGTGGCTGCTGCGGTCGCACTGCGACTTTTGAGGCGCCTCAAAACTCAAAAAGACTGAGTCGATTCTGACGGGACGTGGCTGCTGCGGTCGTACTGCGACTTTTGAGGCGCCTCAAAACGCAAAAAGACTGAGTCGATTCTGACGGGACGTGGCTGCTGCGGTCGCACTGCGACTTTTGAGGCGCCTCAAAACTCAAAAAGACTGAGTCGATTCTGACGGGACGTGGCTGCTGCGGTCGCACTGCGCGTTGTTGTTGTTGCCTGCCTTGCCTTGCCTGCCTGCCTGCTGTGACTCGACTGGCTGTTGCTGTTGTTTGCTGTGGTTGCTCAGTAGCATGCCTTTCCGTTCTCCTTGCTCCCTATTAATCTCTTCACCTGTCTGTCCCTCTTTCAGACGGTACAAAGCTCATGGCGGCTCTCACACGCACGGCAATCGACGGGGTCACAGGGAGGTGAGCAGTGCATGCTAGTGGTGGCTTGGCGCTGTGCCCTGCACCAGACTGACAGAGGGTTCATACATTTATGTTTCCACGCTGCTCATGGCGGCGGCGGGCAGTCACACGCACGGCAATCGACGGACGTGGTCACATGGAGGGAGGTTAGCGGACTAGCCAAGGTTTGCATTTCAGAGGCATCTTAAAGAGAGTCTGTGCAATGATACTGGTGGTGGTGGTGGTGTGCGCTGAGTTATGGCTTGAGACGAATAGCGAGTTTGGAGTGCAGCTTTTGCAGTCAGCAACAAGTTGCACCCTACAATCCTCCCACCGCACTCGTTTAAGGTGCCTCAAATGTCGTTCAGTTCTGGATTGAGACGTCAAGAAGAGTGTTTGGACTGCAGCTTTTGCAGTCAGCAACAAGCTGCACCCTACAATCCTCCCACCGCCCTCCACCATTCACCCTTTCCCATCCTCCCCCCCCACCAACAGAGTGTCGTAGGACGCACAGGGCGATCGTGTTGGCACGTCGTTTGAGATAGTCAATGCGGTCAATGCAGTCAACGGCAGGCTGTGCCCTGCGACATAATCACGCTTTCCCCCCATTTTCCCTCCCCTCCCCCACCAACATAGTGTCACTGGACGCTCAGGGCGATCGCATCGGCACGTCGTTTGAGATAGTCAATGCGGTCAAAGGCAACAGACTTCACTCTACAAACCTCTTACCCCCTGTCTTCATTGGTCCATTCCCGTCCTCCCCCCCACCAACAGAGTGTCACTGGATGCACAGGGCGATCGCATCGGCACGTCGTTTGAGATAGTCAATGCGGTCAAAGGCGACAGGCTTCACTCTACAAACCTCTTACCCCCTGTCTTCATTGGTCCATTCCCGTCCTCCCCCCCACCAACAGAGTGTCACTGGATGCACAGGGCGATCGCATCGGCACGTCGTTTGAGATAGTCAATGCGGTCAACGGCCGGCTGCGCTCCATTGGCTACTGGACCAAAGAGAACGGCCTCTCCTCGTCGCTCGAGGTGAGGGGAAGCACTCTAATAGTGCATGTATGCACGCACGCACCCTATCGGGTACATTCAGAGCACCCAACTCCTCCACACCGCTCCTCCAATGGCCAGCTGCGTTCCATCGGCTACTGGACCACAGAGGGCAGCCTCTCCTCTTCTCTTGAGGTGAGGAATCGCGCTTGTGCTACAAGTCTTGTAGTAATGCACCCAGCCCAGCTCCTCCGCACCGCTCCAACGGCCGGCTGCGCTCCATTGGCTACTGGATCACAAAAAACGGCCTCTCCTCTTCTTTCGAGGTTAGGGGGAGTGGAGTTATATTACTAGCCTACTAGCTAGTGGTACTGGTACTCACACCAGCCTGCAGTGTTCCGTTTTTTTTTTTTTTTTTTAGTCGAATCGAAAGGTGAGGGTAAGTACGGTGATACTACTAGCTACTCACACCAGCCTGTAGTGTTCTTTGCTTTTTTCTTGTTAAATGGTTATTATTATCCTCACAAACGCGCCAGCAGGCGTTTTAGAAACCTTTTGCTTGTTTCCGAGTCAGCTTTCCGTCCCTTACAATGATCCAGCTCTTTTCCCGTGTGTCACCCACACACATACCAGCCCTCATCGACAACCAAGGATTCCAGCCAATCGGTGCTGGCAGGCGTCATCTGGCCCGGCGGGGTTTCATTTGTGAGTTTCTGAATCACATTCTTGAGATTTTTCCAAAAGTGATGCACTTTCTGTGTGAGTCGCTCGCATCGCAGTTGCACACACATCTTTAGCTGAGTAAGGCTGAGCCAGATAGATACCACATACAGGTTACACGCATTTTTACCTGTCAGTCACTTTTCCAAATGTCATTTTACACACATTCGGTCTTTATGCGTTCTTTTTTTTCCTTCGAATCCGTGTTTCTCCTGCCTGTCCACTTGTTCGTTGTTTTTTCCGCACAGCTGCCACGTGGCTGGTTCCCGCGTGCGCACACACCATTGAAAATCGCTGTGCCGTTCAAACAGGTAAGCTTGTTTTGTGCATGCAGTGCTCCAAACCCACGTTTTTCTCTCCGCAGGTACGAGTTCGGTATGTGACACGGCACGGCAGCCACGCTGTAACTTGAACCCGCCCCGCCCCACGAACGGCCCATCAGGAAGGAACCCATGAGTCGACTCCAAAGCGCAACGCCCCACGAACGGCCCATCAGGAAGGAACCCATGAGTCGACTCCAAAGCGCAACGCCCCACGAACGGCCCATCAGGAAGGAACCCATGAGTCGACTCCAAAGCGCAACGCCCCACGAACGGCCCATCAGGAAGGAACCCATGAGTCGACTCCAAAGCGCGGCGCCCCACGAACGGCCCGTCAGGAAGGAACCCATGAGTCGACTCCAAAGCGCAACGCCCCACGAACGGCCCATCAGGAAGGAACCCATGAGTCGACTCCAAAGCGCAACGCCCCACGAACGGCCCATCAGGAAGGAACCCATGAGTCGACTCCAAAGCGCAACGCCCCACGAACGGCCCATCAGGAAGGAACCCATGAGTCGACTCCAAAGCGCAACGCCCCACGAACGGCCCATCAGGAAGGAACCCATGAGTCGACTCCAAAGCGCAACGCCCCACGAACGGCCCATCAGGAAGGAACCCATGAGTCGACTCCAAAGCGCAACGCCCCACGAACGGCCCATCAGGAAGGAACCCATGAGTCGACTCCAAAGCGCAACGCCCCACGAACGGCCCATCAGGAAGGAACCCATGAGTCGACTCCAAAGCGCAACGCCCCACGAACGGCCCATCAGGACGGAACCCGTGCTGCCGGAGCCGACTTTTGAGGCGCCTCAAAGGGATCGCAGCCTGCTGATGAGCTGAGCGCGCTGACGGACCCTTGTGACTTTTGAGGCGCCTCAACTAACGACCCATCAGGGAAACCGTGCGGCCGGAGCCGCCCAGGTGCCTTCTGAGTCATGCCTTCCTCGCTCGCTCTCGTCTGAGGCCGCCGGTCCAACAGGATAGCCTCCTGTTGCTATCTACGGGATTGACACGCAGTTCGTGCAGATAGCAGCCAACCAACGGCAGTTAGCAGCCAACCAACGACACCATCACTGGCTTCCTCTCCTTCTGCGTGGAGTTCTTTCGAATGCCCCCCCCTCTCCCTCCCCCCTTCCCTCTTGCTCTCCCCATCTTCCTCTGTAAACCCTCATCCTTACCCGCAATAGGACTTCACGCTGTTTGTGCAGATCGCCACCAACAACACCATCACCGGCTTCTGTGTGGAGGTTCTCTCATATGCCCCTTCTCCCTCCCCTTCTTCCCTCTCTTCCTCCCCTAATCCTTCTCCCCACAACAGGACTTCACGCAGTTTGTGCAGATAGCCACCAACGACACCATCACCGGCTTCTGTATGGAGTCTTTCAAATGCCCCTTCTCCCTCCCCTTTTTCCCTCTCTTCCTCCCCTTATCCTTCTCCCCACAACAGGACTTCACGCAGTTTGTGCAGATAGCTAGGGATGAGCAATATGACGAACTCCTGTTCGGTTCGCCTCGAACACGTTCGAAGCGAACCGAACAGGATATTTTTTTGGCCTAAATTGTTCGGGGCGAACGTGTTCGGTGTTCGCCCGAACACGTTCGCCGTTTGCCCGGCTCAGCTCGCCGAGGCGCGTCAAACACGAACGTGTTCGTGTTCGACACGGGCCTTCGACAAACACCAATGTGTTCGTCGACAAATAGGCCCGCGACCAATTTTTAGGTCGCGGGCCTTGGTGTTTGGGCTCAGATCTGGCCTTTCGCAGTTAGTAAAGTGCAGATCTAGCATTTTGCCATTGCTTAAGTGCAGATCGAGCATTTCGCCGTTGCTTAAGTGCGGATCGAGCATTTCGCCGTTGTTTAAGTACGGATCGAGCATTTCGCCGTTGCTTAATTGCGGATCGAGCATTTCACCGTTGCTTAAGTGCGGATCTAGCATTTCGCCGTTGCTTAAGTGCGGATCGAGCATTTCGCCGTTGCTTAAGTGCAGATCTAGCATTTCGCCGTTGCTTAAGTGCGGATCTAGCATTTCGCCGTTGCACGCTGGCACTAGATGGATGAAGCAGGGCGGGACTAACTTGGGAGGTGGGGGGAGAGAATGTGCGACGATTTGAATTTTACTCTATATTGAATTTCCCCCTGGGCGAACACGAACATGTTCGCCACGAACATGTTCGTGTTCGCCTGTTGCAGCAATTCGTTCGCCTCCTAGGGCGAACGGCGAACACCTATTTTCACTCAAGTCGTTCGCCGAACCGAACACTGTTCGGTTCGGCAGAAGGCCATGTTCGTCAGGGGGCGAACACGAACATGTTCGAGTTCGCCCCCTGCTCATGCCTGCAGATAGCCACCAACGACACCATCACCGGCTTCTGTATGGAGTCTTTCAAATGCCCCTTCTCCCTCCCCTTTTTCCCTCTCTTCCTCCCCTAATCCTTCTCCCCACAACAGGACTTCACGCAGTTTGTGCAGATAGCCACCAACGACACCATCACTGGCTTCTGTGTGGAGGTCTTTCGGGCGGCGGTGGGGCTGCTACCCTACACGCTGGACTTTGAGTTTGTGCCCTATGGCGTTGGCAACCAGTCTCTCAGCTACACCGACATGCTCCGACTTGTTGCAAACAAGGTGGGACGCTGGAACAAGGGATGGGACATGCTTGGGTAAATAACCAGGGCTTGAGTTGAGTCTTTCGGGCGGCAGTGGGGCTGCTACCCTACATGCTAGACTTGGAGTTTGTGCCCTATGGCATCGGCAACCAGTCCCTGAGTTACACTGATATGCTCCGACTGGTGGCGAACAAGGTGAGCAGGAAGTGACAGAGTCAAGTGGATTGAATGGCAATGAATGAATGACTTTCGGGCGGCGGTGGGCCTGCTGCCGTACACACTGGACTTTGAGTTTGTGCCCTATGGCGTTGGCAACCAGTCTCTCAGCTACACCGACATGCTCAGGCTGGTTGTAAACAAGGTGGGATGGGGGAACAGAAGAGGGGATGCTGGGATGGGGGAACAGAAGAGGGGATGCTGGGATGGGGGAACAGAAGAGGGGATGCTGGGATGGGGGAACAGAAGAGGGGATGCTGGGATGGGGGAACAGAAGAGGGGATGCTGGGATGGGGGAACAGAAGAGGGGATGCTGGGATGGGGGAACAGAAGAGGGGATGCTGGGATGGGGGAACAGAAGAGGGGATGCTGGGATGGGGGAACAGAAGAGGGGATGCTGGGATGGGGGAACAGAAGAGGGGATGCTGGGATGGGGGAACAGAAGAGGGGATGCTGGGATGGGGAAACAGAAGAGGGGATGCTGGGATGGGGGAACAGAAGAGGGGATGCTGGGATGGGGGAACAGAAGAGGGGATGCTGGGATGGGCAGCCAGGGCGTGAGTTGAATGAATATTATGGGCTGGCTGGCACTGGCACTGGGTGGGGCTGCTGCCGTACACCCTGGACTTTGAGTTTGTGCCCTATGGCATTGGGAACCAGTCCCTGAGCTACACTGATATGCTCAAGCTTGTTGCAAACAAGGTAGGTAATAACACTGTAGCCTTTCAACTTTCCTTTTCAACTTCACCGTGTGTGCAGACATTTGACGGGGCAGTAGGGGACATCACCATCACACAGGAGCGCCAGCAGCTCGTTCAGTTCACACAACCAGTGCAGGTACACCTTCCCCTCCTTGCAGGTACACCCGGTGCAGGTACAGCCAGTGCAGGTACAGCCAGTGCAGGTACACCTTCCCCTTCTTGCAGGTACACCCAGTGCAGGTTTTAGGTAATACGTTGCTTTCATTGCTTGCCACGTCTCTCAATCGTATTTCCATGTTGTTTAGAAGATACGTTGTTTTACACATCCATCCCTCTCCCCGGTTCCTTCCTTACCTCCAGTCTGCAAGCCTGTCAATGGCGGTGGCACAGGAACCCACGAGCAAAAGCGCGTGGTCGTTCTTGACGCTCTTCTCGTGGTGACTTTAGAGTCGACTCAATAGTCGACTCAATAGTCAACTCAATAGTCGATTCAATAGCCGACTCAGTAGTCGACTCAATAGTCGACTCAATAGTCGACTCAATAGTCGACTCAATAGTCGACTCACCCCGTTTCCCCCTTAACTTTAGTCTGCAAGCCTGTCGATGGTGGTGGCCGAGGAACCCACAAGCACGGGCGCGTGGTCGTTCCTGTCGCCCTTCTCGCTCACCATGTGGCTTCTGAGGCGACTCAAAAGTCAGTTCACCCCGTTCACCCCGTTCACCCGTTCCTCCCTTACCTCCAGTCTGCCAGCCTGTCAATGGCGGTGGCACAGGAACCCACGAGCACGGGCGTGTGGTTGTTCTTGTCACCCTTCTCAAGGTGGCTTTAGAGTTGACTAGAAATTCTGTTCAACCCCTTCACTCTGTTCCCTCCATCCCTCTAGTCCGCAAGCCTGTCCATGGCGGTGGCACAGGAACCCACAAGCACGGGCGCATGGTCGTTCCTGATGCCCTTCTCGAGATGGCTTCAGAGGCAACGCATAAGTCTGTTCACTCCACATCCCCATACTGTGCTCTCTCCAGTCTGCAAGCCTGTCCATGGCGGTGGCCCAGGAGCCAACGAGCACGGGGGCGTGGTCGTTCCTGACGCCCTTCTCGAGGTGTTTTCTGAGGCGACTCATACGTTAGTCCACACCCTCTCTTCACACCCCTCCCTTGCCTCCAGTCTGCCAGTTTGTCAATGGCGGTGGCGCAAGAGCCAATGAGCACGGGGGCGTGGTCGTTCCTGACGCCCTTCTCGAGGTGGTTTCTGAGGCGACTCATACGTTAGTCCACACCCTCTCTTCACACCCCTCCCTTGCCTCCAGTCTGCCAGTTTGTCAATGGCGGTGGCGCAAGAGCCAACGAGCACGGGGGCGTGGTCATTCCTGACGCCCTTCTCGCTCACCATGTGGCTGGTCATCCTCGCATCAACCGTCTTCACCGTCTTCGCCGTCTGGTTCCTCGAGAAGAACCAGAACGAGGACTTTTACGCCCACGGCAAGCTCTCCAGCCAGATCATCGATAGTGTCTGGTAAGTCAGCTATTTGAGACGACCCAGGAGCTGAGGCGCCTCACTATCTTCTTGATAAGAACCGGAACGAGGACTTCTGCGCCCACGGCAACCTCTCCAGCCAGATCATCGACAGCGTCTGGTGAGCCAACCTGATCTGACTACTATTTCCTCAAGCTCTGTTGTCAGAAGACTTGCAGTGGGGATCCCCGATTGATCCTAGGAAGGTTCACATGCATGTTAGCATGGGGAGTTATAGGCGCACTGACTCGCTACTGAAACAAGACCTTTTATCCCAGTGGTCTAGTGGCTGAGATTCTGACACCTGTTTTAAAGCTACCCTTCTCCCTTCTCCGCCCACGGCTAGCTCTCCAGCCAGATCATTGACAACGTCTGGTAAGCCATGGCCTGTTGGGTGGCATATAGACATGAATTGATCCCAAGGTTTATCGCCGAAGTGAGTCGAATGGACCGTGGTCCCTCCAGTCTGCACCTGCAAGCAAGCATGTTGACTTGTGGCCTAAGTAGGAGCCAACAAGCAGGGGTGCGTGGTTCAAGCATGGGCGCGTGGTCATTTTTTATAAAGGGCCTATCTCCTTCCCTTTAATTAAGATTTTCCTTACCCTCCCCGTTTTAAGCCCGGCCGTATCCTCTCCCCCTGTTCCGCCAAAGCAACCCTTGTAACCCCAGTCGATTCCTCTTCCCCTGTGCCACCCCCCGTGTTCCTCTCTTGTGCGTTGCAGGTATGCGCTCACCACGATCGTCTTTGCACAAGGTATACCTTTGACCACTGCCCCGCATGGTGGAATGCTGAATAATTTCTCTCACCCACCTAACTTCGTTGGCTTGGCACCCAGAACGCCACCTTGCTTGCTAAGCGTTTGGCCACCTTGCTTGCTACACCTTCGGCCACCTTGCTTGCTACACCTTTGACCACCTTGCTTGCTGCTCTTTTGGCCACCTTGCTTGCTTGCCCCATGTTGGAATGCTGCATGTTCCCAACCACCCTCCTTCACCTGCTCGTTTGTGTCACTTCATTCATGTTATTCGCATCCATACACCACACGTTAACTTTACGCACATCACCACACTCTGCGTGCTAATCCATGACATGATGGCCCTTCATTATAAGCTACCTTGTCAACCCTTCTATTGCCTTATTACAGAACCACCCCTCCCCTCTCTCTCTCCTTCCCGTTTCCCCTCTGCTTACACCCCTTATTTCCCTACTTGATGCGTGATGTGATGTGAGCAGACAAGCCCATTCAGACCACCATGGGCCGCCTCGCCATGATGTGCTGGCTCTTCCTCGTGCTCATCGTGACCGCCAGTTACACCGCCTCCCTCTCCTCCATCCTCACCGTTCAGAACCTCGCTGCAACCCCTGATGTGAGCACTTCTAGCACCCTAAACCCGAAATGCCAGTCCATCCACAATACACCTCCAGTTACACTGCCTCCCTCTCCTCCATCCTCACCGTTCAGAACCTCGCTGCAACCCCTGATGTGAGCACTTTTAGCACCCTAAACCCGAAATGCCAGTCCATCCACAATACACCGCTAGTTACACCCCCTCCCTCTCCTCCATCCTCACCGTTCAGAACCTCGCTGCAACCCCTGATGTGAGCACTTCTAGCACCCTAAACCCGAAATGCCAGTCCATCCACAATACACCGCCAGTTACACCGCCTCCCTCTCCTCCATCCTCACCGTTCAGAACCGCGCTGCAACCCCTGATGTGAGCACTTCTAGCACCCTAAACCCGAAATGCCAGTCCATCCACAATACACCGCCAGTTACACCCCCTCCCTCTCCTCCATCCTCACCTTCAGAACCTCGCTGCAACCCCTGATGTGAGCATTCCTGGCAGCCCTCCCCCCTCCTAGCACCTGGAAACCCAAGTCCTCATCAACCCCAAGGATTCAAGTTCATAGTGGACTGGAGTAGCAGCAATCCTGGGAATTCAGTCTCGTTCCTTTGTTGCTTAAGCATTTCCTTCAGGATTGCTGCTACTCCACTATGAACTTGAATCCTGGCAGCCCTCCCCCCTCCTAGCACCTGGAAATCCAAGACCTCATCAACCCCAATTTGTATGGCTGGTCTATCCACGATACGCCGCCATGCCACCCGCTCGCTCTCCCCCATCCATCCCCATCACCCCCTCCCCCTGCCCACCAAACCCCTTCCACCCCCACACAGAGCCTTGCTGTGGCAATCTCTTTGAAGCTTCCTCTCGGTTACCACGAGGGGTCCTTCACCTACAACTACCTCCTGGCCATCGGCATCCCCGCTGTAAGCAGGCCCGCTACTACTCTCCATTGTAGTTGTAAGCAGTCTTGCTATCCATGGCAATCCCTCGGTTACCACAAGGGGTCCTTCACCTACAACTGCCTCCTGGCCATCGGCATCCCCGCTGTAAGCAGGCTTTCTCTTTCTCCAACTTTCTCGTTGAGCAGTCTCTCTAATCCCCACTGTAGCTATCGGCAGTCTTGTTATACCTGCTTCCCACTGTAGACAGTCTCTCGGTTCACCTGCAACTACCTCCTGGCCATTGGCATCCCCGCTGTAAGCAGGCCCGCTATTCCCCACAATCCACTCCCGCCAACTCTTGTTTTCAGCACTTTTATCCCCTTTGTGAGCAGGCTGTACTGTCTAATTCCCACTGTATGCATGCTGCAGTCTCATTCACAAGCCCAATCATGCTATCCACATCCACCCTGTCTCCACCGCTATTGACTTTTGAGTCGACTCAAAAGTCTTCCCCATTGTACGCACGCAGTCTCATTCACAAGCCCAATCATGCTATCCACATCCACCCCGTCTCCACCGCTATGGCTCCCCCTTTGCTCTCTGCCTTCTCCCAACCCCCACCCACCCCCACCCCCTCCCCCCCCCTCCTCAACAGTCAGTGCTGTACGCGCTGGGTTCCATGGCTGAATTTGTGGACGCCTTGAGGTCGGTCTGGCAAGGTGAAGGCCGTCATTGACGACGCTCACCACTCGTGCTGCTCCATACTTCCTTTCCCCCTCCCCCCCAACCTCACTGTCCCCCCAAACACAACAGTCAGTGCTGTACCCGCTGGGGTCGATGGTTGAGTTCGCGGACGCCCTGGGGTCAGGCAAGGCGAAGGCCGTGTATATGGAAATCACTTTTGAGAATTCTCAAAAGTGATTTCCATACGCCCTGGGGTCAGGCAAGGTGAAGGCCGTGATCGCCGAGGCTCATTCCCTCATGCCCCCATCCCTCCCCTCGCCTGAAACCCTCCACCCACCGCCCCACCCCTCCCCGCCCCCAACAGTCAGTGCTGTTCCCGCTGGGGTCGATGGCTGAGTTCGCGGACGCCCTGGGGTCAGGCAAGGCGAAGGCCGTGTATATGGAAATCACTTTTGAGAATTCTCAAAAGTGATTTCCATACGCCCTGGGTTCAGGCAAGGTGAAGGCCGTGATCGATCGACGAGGCTCATTCCCTCATGCCCCCATCCCTCCCCTCGCCTGAAACCCTCCACCCACCGCCCCACCCCTCCCCGCCCCCAACAGTCAGTGCTGTTCCCGCTGGGGTCGATGGCTGAGTTCGCGGACGCCCTGGGGTCAGGCAAGGCGAAGGCCGTGTATATGGAAATCACTTTTGAGAATTCTCAAAAGTGATTTCCATACGCCCTGGGTTCAGGCAAGGTGAAGGCCGTGATCGATCGACGAGGCTCATTCCCTCATGCCCCCATCCCTCCCCTCGCCTGAAACCCTCCACCCACCGCCCCACCCCTCCCCGCCCCCAACAGTCAGTGCTGTTCCCGCTGGGGTCGATGGCTGAGTTCGCGGACGCCCTGGGGTCAGGCAAGGCGAAGGCCGTGTATATGGAAATCACTTTTGAGAATTCTCAAAAGTGATTTCCATACGCCCTGGGGTCAGGCAAGGTGAAGGCCGTGATCGATCGACGAGGCTCATTCCCTCATGCCCCCATCCCTCCCCTCGCCTGAAACCCTCCACCCACCGCCCCACCCCTCCACGCCCCCCCCCAACAGTCAGTGCTGTTCCCGTTGAAATCCATGGCTGAGTTCGCGGACGCCCTGGGCTCGGGCAAGGTGAAGGCGGTGATTGACGAGGCGCCGTATCTTGATGTGTTCAACTCGCGCTTCTGCAGCTACACACGGGTCAAGGAGCAGCTCTCCACCTTTAACTGGGGCTTTGTGAGTGCTGCTGGTTGTCATATTTCATTTGCCCTGGTACCATTGTTGCGCCGTATCTGGACGTGTTCAACTCGCGCTTCTGCAGCTACACACGGGTCAAGGAGCAGCTCTCCACCTTTAACTGGGGCTTTGTGAGTGCTGCTGGTTGTCATATTTCATTTGCCCTGGTACCATTGTTGCGCCGTATCTGGACGTGTTCAACTCGCGCTTCTGCAGCTACACACGGGTCAAGGAGCAGCTCTCCACCTTTAACTGGGGCTTTGTGAGTGCTGCTGGTTGTCATATTTCATTTGCCCTGGTACCATTGTTGTGCCGTATCTGGACGTGTTCAACTCGCGCTTCTGCAGCTACACACGGGTCAAGGAGCAGCTCTCCACCTTTAACTGGGGCTTTGTGAGTGCTGCTGGTTGTCATATTTCATTTGCCCTGGTACCATTGTTGCGCCGTATCTGGACGTGTTCAACTCGCGCTTCTGCAGCTACACACGGGTCAAGGAGCAGCTCTCCACCTTTAATTGGGGCTTTGTGAGTGCTGCCGGTTGTCATATTTCATTTGCCCTGGTACCATTGTTGTGCCGTATCTGGACGTGTTCAACTCGCGCTTCTGCAGCTACGCACGCGTGAAAGAGCAGCTCTCTACATTCAACTGCTGCTGTGTGTGGGAGAGTTGAAAAAAATTGCATGCATGAGAAATGGCTCTCTCTCTCTCTCTCTCTCTCTCTCTCTCTCTCTCTCGCTCTCTCTCTCTCTCTCTCTCTCTCTCTCTCAAGCAGTCATGCATTTATATGGGTCACAAGGTACAGCCATGGCAGGTGGTGGTAACTAGCTTGCCTAGATATTGGAGCAGCCAGGGAACCAGAACTAAACAAGCAAACAGAGCAAGCCCATCCATCCTAAAGCACCCCTAACTCTCAGAGCAGCCCGATCCCCGGTAGCTCAGGACCATGAGAACCCCCCTTCTTCCACTTGTCCCCTGTCCCTCCCATACCACACAACCTCCCCTTATCCTCCTCCGACCCGCCGCTTCCTCGCACCTTCCCTGAGACGCCCTTCCTTATCCCTGTTCCCTCTGACCCACACCGACTCAGCACACCCCCCCCTGCTTCTCACCGTGCCCATGTATCCCTCCCCTGCCGCCACCCATCCTCCTCCTGTCACCATGTTCCTATCTCCCCGGCCCCCTCAACCCCTCAGGCCGCCCTGGCAGGGGCGTGTCTCTATTCGTACTCGTCCTCCAAGGTCTGCCATAGGTCACCTAGCCGAGGTGCCCAAGGGTCCGCCACTGTCTGTGGGAAAGCTTACGCTGCTCGGTTTGACTTGGAGAGGAGGGAGATCGCTTGGCTGTGCTGGAGCACCACGGACCACCGTTGCCTGAAGTGTGCATTGAGGCGGGCGGCAGTCGTCGTGAGGCGTCCCTTCCTGTACTTCGTCTTGGCGGCATAGGTGGCTAGCATACGGATGAATTGCTGCGTGTCCTTAGCCAGAGCCCCGTAAGTCTCTACCGCTAGTCCAAAGAAGCTGGCATAGCTAGGGCGGCCCTCGTAGAGCCTGTGCTTACCCTCGGAGGCTTCCTCTGCTGCCCACCCCGGCGGCTTCCTAGCTCTCTTATCCCGCTTCTGCAGTACGGGATCTGTGACCGTGACATCGGCTACCCACGTTTCCCCCGACTCCTGGTCCCGAATGGCCAGGTCTGCTCGCTTCCGGAGGACCGGGGGAGAGAATGCCGTGGTCTCATGGAACGTCCTGTAACCCGCATCCTTGGCCATTCTGAGAGCTGCAAAGACCAGGGCGTTGTGGGTCCTCACAACGTCACCGCCCCAGACCGCAGGAGGTGGTTGGGGAGGCTCTTGTCGGAGATGGTCGAGTTTTCCCGCTTGCAAGGGCACACCTCGGCGACCGGCAGCTCCATGCCCAAACGCAGGCCCAGGGCCATCAAGAATTGACCAGGGGATAAGCTAAGGTCTCCTCTCGTTGGCATGGCATGGAGCCAGTCACCCGCGCCCACCCCCTTTAGGCTGATGAGGCGGATGGCATGACCCCTGTCCTCCCCCGGCCGGTCCTGCAGGGTGTCCGCTAGGAGTTCCAAGGCCCGCCGCTGGTTAATAGACTTCGACAGCCCCAGCTGCAGGTTCCCTGTGCCTGGACTCCCCGCCCTGTACTGCTCCAGTGTTGCTCGGGCTTCAGCAGTGAGGGCACCCTCCATAGTGGCTCTGGGGTCGAACTCTGGTGGCGGTGGGACCCAATCGTGGGAGAGGAGCTGAGTCGCTCGGCTCAGGAGGCAGTCAGTTGGCAGGACCAGCTGCCTCAGTAGGATGTGTGCTGCCGCGACTGAAGCCAGGTAGGCAGCGGGTGCTTCAGAGATAGGGTCAATCACTCCGAGGCCACCCATGCGGATAGGGAGTGTTCCCTGACGCCACAGTAGGCTCTGTTCAAGCTCGGAGCAGGGGATCCGAAGTTTCGCTGTAGTGAGTGCCGAGCCCAGGAGAGCCTCGCTCCACTCCATCCACTCTCGCGTGCTTAGTGTTGATGCCGGGGTCGTCCTAAGCATATATGAGATCCGCCGAGAGATGCTGCGCGAGACCATGAGAAGCGCGTGCTGCGGGTTTAGTTGCGAGATGAGGAGGAGTGGCGACGCCGCTTCTCCCAGTGCCGCCCGTACGTGGTCAATGCAGAAGCCATCATTCCCCACTGGACTGCCCAGCACTTTGATTCCCCCCTGGTTCATGGTCAGCCCAAGTGGCAGCTCCTCTTGCTGCCCGCTCGCGTTCCGTCCCCATGCTGATGATTTGTCTATGTTGCAACGCAGTCCCACCGCTCTCAGAGCCGAGGCGATCGTGTTGAAGGCAGTGCAGGCAGCCTCTCGTGAGCCGACGATCGTGATGTCGTCCGCGTAGGCGACGATCGCCACCTCCGGCAGTGTAGTGGCCATGCTCAGCAGGGCTGGCTGGATCGCAGCTGCGAACAGAAGCGGGCCGAGCGGATCTCCCTGGCGAACTCCGCGGATGCTCAAGATGTGGTCTGTGCCGAAGCGTTGATCAACTAGTAGCCGCGACGGGCCATCGTAGAGGTTTCGGACCAGGGGGAGGAGGGGACTAAGGTTGGACCACTGCAGGGCCTAAAAAAAATGCTCTGCGCTCAACGCTGTTGAACACATTCTCTACGTCCAGCTGCAGCGCAATCCGTGCTTCGTCCTCCTGAAGTGGTGCTCTGACTGAGTGGATGATACACTCCGCTCCCCCCGGGATAGCCACTCCGAACTGGACCGGAAGAAAGAACTCTCGGATCTTAGGACCAAATGAGTGAAGAGCCGCTTTCGCTACTACACGGAGTAATGTTTCGCCAATCGCGATAGGCCTGACCCCACCCCCTGGTTTCTCTAAGGCTATCTGGCGTGAGGTTAGGGTGAGGACGCGCAGCTCCTGAGACTGGAATGTGCTAAGGAGTGTGTTGACTGTCCTAGCGAGTAGGATTAAGATCTCCTCGTTGGCTAGAGCTGGATCTCTCAGGTGCTCGAAACATGTTCCAGAGGGCCCCCCACCCACTCCATTCGGGCATTTCGCCAGGATTTCGCGGAGAGCGTCAACCGGGACGGCGAGTTCAGAAGTTGCTATTCCTGTTACCCAGGCCGGGATATCGTCTTTGGCAAGTGGGTGTTTCGCCCGAAGTGCAGCGAGGGTTGACGAACTAGGCTCAGCGAGTGGGCTGGTGCGTAACGCATCAACTGCCTTCGAGATATTCCCCTTCTTCATTAACCCTTCCGCGCGTGCACAAACCTCTTCGTCGTCAGGTTGGTGTCGTAGCGGGGCGTCGGTATCGGGGATGGTGCCGGCTTCCTTGAAAAGGTCATCCCATTTCCCTTGCTGAAATTGATGTAGCCGAGCCTCAATTCGAGCCCAGCGACTCCCAACCACAGGTTCGGGAGAGGGTCGGAGTGTAAGCCTCGGTAGGAACAGCAGAATCTTCCACGCACCAAGGCACGTAGGGGATTTTTCCAGCCTCAGGAGTGGTGCCAGCAGACAGAGGCAGTATTTGTCCAGAATTTGTGGGGGCAGGCGGCGGACGAGGAAAGGCTGGTCCCCACGTTGCAGTTGCTTCACATCCCAACCCTCAGCTCCCTGCCAGAGGGCCTCTTCCTTCGCCATGTCAGAAGGCGAGAAGACATCTGTCACCTCAGTTTCTCCTGCTGTATCTCCCACCGCCCGTTGGTTCTGTGCAATCCCGCTCGGCCCTCTTCCACGTGTGTTTGGAGCATTCCTGTCCACCTCAGTTTCCTCCTCCAGGGAGACCTCCTCAGATTCAGCTTCTTCACCACACATAAACTCTGGGTCGCCGGCGTTATCTTCCGAGCCCGCTGCCTGTTCCTCATTCGTTGGCACTTCCACCGCTTCTGGCCTATCGTGGCGTTCCCGCCAGGTGCCAGTACGCGCAGGGATCTCAGATCCCCCCACCAGTGCCCTTCCCCCTCGTCCTCCGCGCGCTCCCCGTGCACCGACCCCCCGCTGAGTCCGTCCCGTGCCTGCTGGCGCTCTCGTCCCCTCGCCCATAGCTCCACGTCCCGCCGGCAACCACGGTGTCCGGCCTCCCCGGGGCGGTCCCCAGGTTATTGCTGCTCGTCGCGTCGCGTGGCGGGTGTTGTGCGCGACGGCGTTCGTTGTGTTGGGCGCCTCAGCGTGTGCCGCCGTCGTTGGTGTCGCGTTGAGTGCAGGAGCACCACGGGTGTTTCCTAGCGGGCGGCTTCCAGCTTCGGCCTCCTCGCGCACCTCTCGCTGGCTCAACGATGACGATCGATGCGCTCGCTCTGATGGCGGTTGCCCTTGCAGAAGCCAGCCCCGGAGGGGTCCCGGGGAGCCAGGTCCCAGCCCTGCTCCGGGCCGTCTCGGCGCTGGCTGGGCCCGTAGCCTTGTCTTCGACTTCGCACGTTCAGCGCCGGAAGAAACGCCGCTCGCAGGTCCCGGAAACTCTCCCTCCGCCTGGCCCTGCTCCTGCCTGCTTGCGGCCACGACAGCAACAGGCGTTTCGGCGCACGCAGCGGCAGTCGTCGCGCCTTCCACCGTCGGGGCATGGCCCCGCTCCCCAGTCGCAGCAGACACCGCCGCCGCCAGCACAGTCGGCGTTACCGGTGCCGGTGATGCGGACAGCGCCACCTCCGCGGTCAGCTCCGGATCCGCGCCCAGCCTCCTCTCCTCAACCTCCGTCTGTGCATCCCGCGGGATGGCAGAGGGCGAAACTGAGCCGCCGTCAAAGGCAGCGGCAGGACCTCCAGCAGACACCGGGATTGCCTCCGTCTCCGCCGCAGGCACATCAGCATCAGCCACCGGAGGCCTCCTCGCAGCCGCCATCGAGGGTAGCATAGCAACTGCCAATTCAAACTCCACTCCGTCGTTTTCCATTGCCCCTCCGTCCGCAGCAGCCTCTCCCCTCAGTATTCCATGCTCCTCCGTCTCCTCTCCTGCACGTACGAAACCCTCAGTCAGTACCTGGCCCGCCGTCGTTCCATCGGTACCCCTATGGCGGTCCCCCTGTGCAGCATCAGTGGGGACCGGTGACGCCTCCTGCCCCGCCTCCTCCCTCAGCGGTGGTTCCTGGTGAGCCTCCGTCTCTCGTCGAGCAGCGCGTGATGCACGTGGGGACTTGCTTGACGCTCCTGTCGTACGTGCTCGACCAGCGTCACGTGACCCTGGTGCAGCAGGAGGTGCAGATCGAGGCGATGCAGCCCGCGGAACAGTCGGCAGCAGTGTCGGCCGCGGAGGAGTTGCAGCAGTACCTCCCCCTGATTGGCTTCGTGCCTGGCTCCCCCGGGGCTGCCCTCGGCCCTGGCCCTGGGGCTTTGGCACGGCTTGCCGAGTCTGCTCAGGAGGACCCGCTTGACCTTGTAGCTGCAGCCGCGTCCGTCCTACGCTGGCTGGACGGGCGGCTTTGTTGGATCTTATTGAGTAGCAGATGCCTCTCTCTCTCTCAAATGGTCCTTTGTATTGATTCAGCAGGGGGGTACAGACATGCAATTTGACTCGTGGTTCCCTTATACCTTCCGACCCATCAACCCATCCCTCTGACCCTTCCCCCCCTTAGTGCCCCTCTAACCCTCCAGCGTGTGGAGGATGTCCCCTAGGTGCAGTGGCCATGGGTCCGCTGCCATCTGGGGGTGCGCTGCCTCTATCCCAGCCCTGGCCTTGGTGTGTAGGGCATTCGCCTGGGAGCGCTGGAGGGCCACTGACCATCGCTGGCTGAAGTGGCAGGCCATCTTCTTGGCCGATTTCGACAGGGGGTTGGCCCTGAACCGGTTCCTAGCTGCTGCTGTAGCCAGCAGCTTCAGGAACGCCGTCGTGGGGGGAGCGTTTGCCCCATAGGTCTCGACGGCCAGGGCGCAGAACACCACGTGTTCTGTGTGCCGGTAGTAATCTCTTTCCTTCCGCTTCTGAGCCTCCCTTGCAGCCCAGCCTGGGGGTTTGCGGGCTGTGGGGTCCCGGTTCTGTAGCACAGGGTCGGTGATAGTCGTGTCTGTGATCCAAGTCTCTCCACTGTCTGGGTCACGCACGATCACATCGGCCTTCTTCGGGTCATCTGGTGGTGAGTACATTGCATTCTCCAGGTATACCACCAGCTGCGCCTCCCTCGCCATTTTTGCCACGGCAAAGGCCAGCTGATTGTGTGTGCGCGTTCTGTCAGGGCCTGTGCTGCAGCGGAGTAGGTGGTTGGGTAGGCTGCAGTCGGCCACGAGCTCTCCACACTCGCACACAGTAGGTACGTTCTGTCGGATGCCCATGCGGAAGGCCAGGGCTGTTCGGAATTGCCCTGGTGAGAAGCAGAGGTCTGGGGTCAAGGGTAGGGCCTGCAGCCATGCTCCCGCTCCCTCGCCTCTCAGGCTGACGAGGCGGAGCGTGTGGCCCGTCTCGGGGGCTGACCTGATCGAGCGTGAGTCCTCTGTCAGGGAGTCGGCTTTTGCCGCGTGCACTTCCAGAGAGAGGGCCCGCTCTCTCTCTCTCTCTCTCTCTCTCTCTCTCTCTCTCTCTCTCTCTCTCTCTCTCTCTCTCTCTCCCTCCCTCCCTCCCTCCCTCCCTCCCTCCCTCCCTCCCTCCCTCCCTCCCTCCCTCCCTCCCTCCCTCCCTCCCTCCCTCCCTCCCTCCCTCCCTCCCTCCCTCCCTCCCTCCCTCCCTCCCTCCCTCCCTCCCTCCCTCCCTCCCTCTCTCTCTCTCTCTCTCTCTCTCTCTCTCTCTCTCTCTCTCTCTCTCTCTCTCTCTCTCTCTCTCTCTCTCTCTCTCTCGCCGCATACTGAATCTGGCTACTGCAGCAGCTGCAGAGCATGCACAGCTTCTGGATCAGGGATCCATCTCCTGCTCCCTTCTGGATCAGGAGGTAGGAAACGGAGGGACCAAGGGCTCCATCTCCTGCTCCCTTGGTCCCTCCGTCTCCTCCCTCCTCCCCCTCCCCCCTGCTGATATTTTCCCTTCTCCTCCCCTGCCCACCTGTTCCTGCTCCCCCGCCCCCTGTTCCCCTGCCCCTCCCCAAACCCCCGTCCTCCCCCCACCTCTCAACAGGCGTTCCACAAGGACACGCGCGTGCCCTACGATCTCCATCGCCATTTCAAAGCTGTTCCCACTCCCCTTGCTCCTCTGCCCCCTGCCCATCTCCTCCATCAGGCATTCCATAGGGACATGCGCATGCCCTACAAATCTCTCCATTGCCATCTCAGAGCTTTCCCTACTCTCTCCCTGCCCAATCCTGCCCCTGCTTTCCCTTTTCCATTTCCCTCCCCATCCTTACTTTACCCCCCAGGCGTTGCACAAGGACATGCGCGTACCATACGATCTCTCCATCGCCATCTCAAAGCTGGCGCAGTCGGGGCAGCTGCAGAGCATGCACGACTTCTGGATCAAGGGCTCCACCTCCTGCTCCCTCGGGCCCTCCGTCCGTCTCCTCCCTCCTCCCGCTCCCACTCGCTGACACTTTCCTCTTCCCTCTTTCCCTTGCTCCCCTGCCCCCCTGCTCCCCTGTCCCGCTCCCTCCCTGCCCCCCTGCCCCTGCCCCCCGCCTCTTCCTTCCCCCCAACACCTCCCCAGGCGTTCCACAAGGACATGCGCGTACCATACGATCTCTCCATCGCCATTTCAAAGCTGGCGCAGTCGGGGCAGCTGCAGAGCATGCACGACTTCTGGATCAAGGGCTCCACCTCCTGCTCCCTCGGGCCCTCCGTCTCCTCCACCAGCCTTGGCCCTGAGAATTTCTGGACGCTCTTTGTGATTTATAGCGCGGTCGCGGTGCTGTGCTGCCTTGTGTACTGCGCGATGTCGGCTTATACGGGGTACAGGATTCTGAGCTACTGCCGGAAGCTGGAGAAGGAGCTGAAGGAAGAACTGGAGGGAAGCAAAGCAGGGTGAGTTGTTTGGTTGAGGAGGTGAAAAATCAGGTGTACTGCACTGTGCCGGGTTGGCTTATACTGCACTGTGCCGGGTTGGCTTATACTGCACTGTGCCGGGTTGGCTTATACTGCACTGTGCCGGGTTGGCTTATACTGCACTGTGCCGGGTTGGCTTATACTGCACTGTGCCGGGTTGGCTTATACTGCACTGTGCCGGGTTGGCTTATACTGCACTGTGCCGGGTTGGCTTATACTGCACTGTGCCGGGTTGGCTGATACTGCACTGTGCCGGGTTGGCTTATACTGCACTGTGCCGGGTTGGCTTATACTGCAGGTCGTCCAGGAGTAGCGAGGTTGTTTTTGAGACGTCTCAAAAACAACCTCGCTACATGTGCCGGGCTAGCTTATACTGCAGGTCGTTTTTTAGAATTCTCAAAAACTCCCTGCAAGGTTTAGGAGGTGAGAAAGCAGGTGTACTGCACTGTGCCGGGTTGGCTTATACTGCACTGTGCCGGGTTGGCTTATACTGCACTGTGCCGGGTTGGCTTATACTGCAGGTCGTCCAGGAAGGAGAAGGCATGGCATTGACTTTGACAACTACGGTTTCTCCCTCTTCCCTCTCCCCCACCCCGCCCACGTTCCTCCCCTGCGCTGATTCTCACTGCAGGATCTCCAGGGAAGGGCAAGGCAGAGGAAGGAAGCACGGAAGGCAGAGGAAGGAAGCACGGAAGGCAGAGGAAGGAAGCACGGAAGGCAGCAAGGGAGCAAAAGAGGGAGGCGCAGGCGGAGCGTGGGGCAGCATTCGCTCGGGAGTGCAGACGATGATGGAAATTAACTTCTTCCACGCGCTGCTCGTGGGGCTGGCTGGGGTGGAAGGAGGGTCCGACCCGACAGACCCCCCTGACGTGCACTCCTCTCTCTGCCTGCTTTCCTCCCGCCCCCCCCCCCCCCCCCCCCCTTCCCACCTACCCCCTTTCCGCCCCTTTGCTGATACTCCCTCCCTCCAGGTCCAGGAGGGGCAAGGCAGAGGAAGGAAGCACGGAAAGCAGCAAGGGCACGAAGGGTGCAGGCGGGGTGTGGGGCAGCATTCGCTCGGGGCTGCAGACGATGATGGAGATCAACTTCTTTCACGCGCTGCTCGTGGGGCTGGGGTGGAAGGATCCCCCTGACGTGCACTCTGCTCTGGTCACCAACCAGCTGCAGCACATTGACTTTGACAGCTACGGCGCTGCTGCTGGGTATGGTGGTGGTGGTGGTGCTGGCGGGTATGGTGCTGCTGCTGGGTTCAACGGTGGTGGTCCTGGAGAGGAAGGGGAGATAGCGGGAGTGTTTGCCCGAGTTGGTAGCATGGGTGGGAGGAGTTTCAAGAACGCTGAAGGCAGCACCAGCACCAGTCAACTTGTGAGGCGCCTCAGAAGTTTTGGAGAAGAAGGGGAGAGAGGGGGAGCAGGATTCGACCGAGGTGGTAGCATGGGCGGGAGGAGTTTCAAGAATGCGGACCGACCAACCAGCAGCGGCAGCGGTCATCTCAAGTCAAGCAAGTCACTCAAGAGGCGGTTCGCCAGGGGAAGCGCGTCGCAGGGAGGTTCTTTCAAAAACGGCGAATTTAGGGCAGGCTCTCTCAAGTCAACAACCTCATTCAAAGCAGATCTGTTCCGAAAGCAACAGTCTTTCCAGCAGTCTAACCTTGGCAAGGAGGGGGCGAGAGAAGCAAGAGAGGCAAGGGAGGGAAGGGAGGGAAGGGAGTCAACGCCAGTCAAGAGGGCAGCGTCGTTCCGGGCAGAGTCAATGCGGTCAGCCTCGCTCAAACAGTCCAACGCTTTCCAGGGGGGGCCTGTGGCTCGGGCTGGAGGGTTCCGGAGCGCTTCTGTGCCTGGAGGTGAAGGGATCAGGGAGGTGACGGGAGAGCGGGAGCAGCAGAGGCAGGAGTATGGGCAGGAAGGGAGGGCGAAGCAGTTTGTACGGCTGGAGAGTAAGAAAGGAAGCTTCATGAAAGCAGAGAGTTTCAAAAGGCCTGGGTCTGGTGGGACTGGTGGGTCGGGTGGTTCTCGAGATAGGGATGGGACTGGAAGCCTGGGTGCAGGAGCGGGCTTGGCTCAGTCGGGCAGCTTGAGCAAAACGGGCAGTTTTAAGAGATCGGGCAGTGCACTCCGTGCTCCCAGCTTCAAGCGTCCTGCCAGCAGTCGAGAGGAGGGGAGTGAGAGGGACGGGAGTGGGATAGCAGAGCAGCAGCCGCAGCCGCCGCCGCAGCAGCAGGGGCCGATATTGAAGCCCGAGGGGCTGTTTAAGAAGCTAGTCAGCTTTAAAGGGGCTGAGGCTGGGTCGAGCACTGGTGGAAGTTCTGAGAGCACGAGCAGAGGGGGAGTGGAGAGAGGGGCAGGAGGGGGAGCAGGAGGGGGAGCAGGAGGGGGAGCAGGAGGGGGAGCAGGAGGGGGAGCAGGAGGGGGAGCAGGAGGGGGAGCAGGAGGTGCAGGAGCACGGGGAGGAGGAGGAGGAGGAGGGCAAGGGGGTGGGGGAGAGACGAGGCCGGATATCAGGTTTGGCGGCAGTGCAAGGGGCAAGTTTGAAGGGGGGCCGGTGTGGCGATCAACTTGGTGGGGGAAGAAGGGGTGATTTGGGAGCTGTGGTGACATTTGGAGGCGCCTCAAAAGACACCTGGGAGCTGTGGTGACATGGGTATTGTTGTGGGAACTGATGGTTGTTGTCATTTGTGGTGTGGAGTGGCGATGGCGGTGCGAGAGGCAAGTTTGAAAGGGGGCCGGTGGGGCGATCCACTTCCTGGGGAAAGAAGGGTTGAGGTGAGGGGTGAGCGGTGACATGGATATGGGAGTGCTGGTGGGAGGGACTGAGGGGGGTGTGTGATATGCAGTGACAGAAAGGAAGGATTATGAGTTGAACAGGTTTTGGAAGAAGGAAGGGCATGATAGGAGCCCTGGTGGGAACTGATGGGCGTCATTTGTGGTGGCAGGAGGGTGGATGTCTGTAGCAAAAGGGGTTTGTGTGTGCAGCTAAATGCCCCCTTTGAGTTGAGAGTTTTACTTCGACAAAGCAGGCAGGGTGGTTGGTGCGGTGGTGTGAGGGTGTGAGAGTGTGAGGGTGTGAGAGTGTGAGAGTGTGAGGGGGTGTGAGAGCCAGGCTTGAAAGGGATTGAGTGTGGCGGTCAACGCCTTATTGGGAGAGAGGGCGAGGCCAAAATGGGGGGATGGGAGGGGTGGGGTGCACCGATGGGAACAAAAAATTTTAGGAGGCACCTCGGGGAAAACAAGAGTCACGTTTTCTTGTTTGAGGTGCCTCAGTAGCTAGACTCCCACAGGAACAAGTTGCGACTCAAAATTTGGTAATCTTACAGGAGCTGGAATTCTTATGCATGCTTCATGGGAGCATTCTCAGTTTGCATTCTTGTTTTTCCATGAGATGTTCATGAGCTTTCCTTCATTTTGTTTGGACACTGCAAATATATGTTAAAAAATTAACTATGTTTTAATAACAGTGGAATTTGCTTACCACTTTACCATTAATGTGCCTATTGCCACACCGAGCTTCAATGCATCGATGTCAGATGTGCCTATTGCTTAGTTCTGTTATGGGAATGTGTACGCTGTGTATGATGGTGTCAACTTATATTTTCACCTCAAGTACTAATCGCTGCATTAAAGCGTACAGACGGCAATCGGCTGTGACCGTAATTACCGTGCGACGACCATACCTTTGCGACGACCATACTTTTGCGACGACCACCTCCCGTGCGACATCTTTCGTGCGACGACCTCTGAGCGATGGAGCCGCCGTCGCCATCGAGTGATCCTCCACCTGTCGTAGCGAGTAATACCTCGCCACGTGTCTTCAACGTGAATGTTGGCATTCTGGGGCACATCGACAGCGGCAAAACTAGCCTCGGTGAGCCGAGCCGACACGTACCGAATTGACTGAGAATTCTCACAAGACATTTAGACCTTTAAAAAAAAAACAAGAAGAGACCCCGGTGAGAGCCGAGTAACACGTGGCAACACGACTCGAAATTCGTCCCACGTAAGCCGGAGTAGTATTATGCCCCCCTCCCCATGACGTCCCAACCTCTCCCCCCTCCACACGCCTCCCCCCCCCTTCCCCAGCCAGGGCGCTCAGCACGCTGCTGAGCACAGCCGCGTTGAAAAGAGCCCAGAGCGAGCGGAGAGAGAGAGGGGGGGAGGGCAGTACACCCGAGTCTGTTCCCATGCTCCATGCTCCCCAGTCCATATTCCCCTCCGCATGTCTCCCCTCACCACCCCAGCCAGGGCGTTGAGCATGCTTCTGGACGGTCGCGTTGGACAAACACCCGCAGAGCGCGGCGAGGGGGAAAGGGGAACAAACTCTGCCGTTGCAGTGGACTTAGAGCTCAGTTTCGATCTTGTTTTTTGAACTGGCAACACAAGGCTGGCGGAAAGAAGAACAAACTCTGCCGTTGCTTGCGTACACTGTGCCCGACTCTCTCCCCATGCCCCCATGCCATATCTCCATGCCATCCCGCCATCTCCCAATGCCCCATATCCTCTCAAATGTCCCCACCCCAGCCAGGGCGCTGAGCACGCTGCTGAGCACCGCCACGTTGGACAAACACCCGCAGTGGGAAACGAGGGAGAGGGGGGGAGTATGTCCGTGAGTGTATCCCCATGCCCCCGTGCAACACCCGTGCAACACCCGTGCAACACCCGTGCAACACCCGTGCAACACCCGTGCAACACCCGTGCAACACCCGTGCAACACCCGTGCAACACCCGTGCAACACCCGTGCAACACCCGTGCAACCCCCTTACAACCCCCATACCCTCCCTATATACCCCACCCCAGCCAGGGCGCTGAGCACGCTGCTGAGCACCGCCGCGTTGGACAAACACCCGCAGAGCGCGGAGAGGGGAAGAGGGAGAGGGGGGAACTGCCTGCGCACTTACCTGAGTCTGCCGTGTCTCCCCATGCCCCCTCCGACCACACACCCCCCCAGCCAGGGCGCTGAGCACGCTGCTGAGCACCGCCGCGTTGGACAAGCACCCGCAGAGCGCGGAGAGGGGGATCACCCTCGACCTCGGGTTCTCCGCCTTCCAGGTACCTTACTGGCAGCTTCCATGCGTCTTCCAAGTAGCTTCTCCAGTGGTTTTCGTGCAGCCCATCTGCGCTATCCTGTCACTGCACCACTCCTTTGCGCTCCTCTCCACTCCTTTCCACTCCTTGCTTCGCACCCTTTTGCCAGGTGGACGTCCCTCCATCCCTTGTTGGTCAGCTGCCATTCGACAAGATTCAATTCACTCTCGTTGACTGCCCCGGCCACGCCTCCCTCATCCGCACCATCATTGGAGGTCCGTCCCTCACCTCCCGTCAGCATTTTCATGTTTTTCAAGTATGTCGGAGCATTTTCATGCTTTTCAAGTATGTCGGATAATGCCTCAATGCCCCCCTCCTCACCCGCACCTTCACATTACTCGTAGACTGCCCCGGCCCCCGGCCATGCCTCCCTCCCTCATCCGCACCATCATTGGAGGTCCGCCTTTCACCTGCTGTCATATGCTGTTACAGATTGGATATCTGTAATATCTGTTACAGTCCCGGCTGTCATATCTGCCTGAATGATGTTGACTTATCAAGTTGACTAGAACAGGGAGAGTTGGAGCGAGTGAGCGAGCGAGCGAGGAGGAATGCTGCTTATGCCAGCAGCAATCCGTTATGACAACGGATATATCGCTCGTGCCCCATACCCGTTGTGGTTTCATGTTATCATGCTTTTCAGTTGTCGTCATTTGAGGCGCCTCAAATGTGGTTTCATGTTATCCCCACAACGGGTATATGCTTTTCAGTTGTCGTCATCCCCACCCCCCATTCCCTTAACTCCCCACACTCCAGCCCATCCCATTTCGCACAGATTATCGATATGATGCTGCTTGTGGTCGACGTCACCAAGTAGCAAGCTATCCCCGTGTATGACTTGTTAGTTTTCCTCGCTTCGTCACTCCCCCTTTCCCCACACACCGCATCCCATCAGGCGCACAGATCATTGATATGATGCTGCTTGTGGTCGATGCCACCAAGGGCATTCAGACGCAGACTGCAGAGGTGAGAAAACCTACCCCCCCCCCTCCCCCCCCCCCCTCCTCCCCTCCCCCCCATAAAAATTAATAATAGCAATAAGGTTATTACAATAACCCTCCGAAACTAAAGAAAGGACGTCAATGACAGTTTATACATCTGTAACGCATTCTTTCTCCTCCATTCTCTTCTCAGCTCCGGCGTTTCTCTCCGTGATTACAACCCTTCTTTTTTTCTTGATTATTCCTGCTTCTTCCCACTTCTTCCCAATTCTCCCCGCCTCTCCCCTGCTCATGTGCAGTGTTTGGTGGTGGGCGAGGAGTTTCCCACCAAGGAGATGGTTGTTGTGAACCACGCATGCCCTCAAGTCCCGTCTTCCTGCCTGGTTCTCCCTGTTTCTCCCTGCTTCTCCCCGCCTCTCCCCTGCCCCTGTGTGCGAGTGCAGTGTTTGGTGGTGGGCGAGGAGTCTCCCACCAAGGAGATGGTTGTTGTGAACCACACATGCCCTCAAGTCCCGTCTTCCTGCCTGGTTCTCCCTGTTTCTCCCTGCTTCTCCCCGCCTCTCCCCTGCCCCTGTGTGCGAGTGCAGTGTTTGGTGGTGGGCGAGGAGTCTCCCACCAAGGAGATGGTTGTTGTGAACCACACATGCCCTCAAGTCCTGTCTTCCTGCCTGGTTCTCCCTGTTTCTCCCTGCTTCTCCCCGCCTCTCCCCTGCCCCTGTGTGCGTGTGCAGTGTTTGGTGGTGGGCGAGGAGTTTCCCACCAAGGAGATGGTTGTTGTGAACCACGCATGCCCTCAAGTCCCGTCTTCCTGCCTGGTTCTCCCTGTTTCTCCCTGCTTCTCCCCGCCTCTCCCCTGCCCCTGTGTGCGTGTGCAGTGTTTGGTGGTGGGCGAGGAGTCTCCCACCAAGGAGATGGTTGTTGTGAACCACACATGCCCTCAAGTCCCGTCTTCATGCCTGGTTCTCCCTGTTTCTCCCTGCTTCTCCCCGCCTCTCCCCTGCCCCTGTGTGCGTGTGCAGTGTTTGGTGGTGGGCGAGGAGTCTCCCACCAAGGAGATGGTTGTTGTGAACCACGCGCCCTCAGGTCCCGTCTTCCTGCCTGGTTCTCCCTGTTTCTCCCTGCTTCTCCCCGCCTCTCCCCTGCCCCTGTGTGCATGTGCAGTGTTTGGTGGTCGGTGAGGTGTCTCCCACCAAGGAGATGGTTGTCGTTCTCAACAAAACGGTAAGCATGCAGGGCGATTTCAGGCGACAATTGATTTGGGGCGGCTCAAAAGTAGTGGGTGAGGTGTCTCCCACCAAGGAGATGGTTGTTGTTGTGCTCAATAAAACGGTACCCCATAGGCTCATACACTCATTATGCTGTCTCATTTTTTGACATGCCATGCCATTCCCTGCCATTACATGCCATGCCATACCAACCCATGCCATGCCATGGCGTGCCATGCCATGCCATGCCATGCCATGCCATGCCAGCTTTCCTCCCTTCTGTCTAACTCCTTTCCCCTTCTCCATGAATCCTCTGCTCTCCGTTCCGTTCCCCTTGACCAGGACCTGTTGCCTGCTGCCACGAAGCAAGCACAGATCGATAAGGTAAGGCCATGGATGGCTGATGGGTAGATTAGTTCACCTTTTTTTTTTTTTCCTCCCCCATGAGCCGTATGGCAACTGGTGGCCAGTATTCTGGGTTTTCTACCATGGCAGTATCCGTATCAGGCTCGTTGTTGCCTTTCCATGCAAGAAGTTGATGTGGATTGGATTTATACGGATAGATGGATTCATATTGATTAATTTGGATTGATGTGCACATCGCACAAATTACTGCGCAATAACCCCCTTGTCCCTCATGTTGCTTCGAAGCACATCCCTCCCTCACGCTGCTTTTACACATGTCTCTTGCTCCTATCAACCACTTGCACTCTTTCAAATTCTCAAACTGTTTCTCTAATTGCACCATGTATTACATCCCTCGCCCTTCACTCTTGCAGATGAGGAAGAGCCCTGCGAGCCACGCTGAAAGGCATCAAGTGTGCTAGTGTGCAATCAACCACTTGCAGTCTTCCAAACTCTCAATCTGTATCTCTGACTGCGAGCGAGCCACATTGAAAGGCACCAAGTTTGCCTATCAACCACTTGCACTCTTTCAAACTCTCAAACTGTGTCTCTCATTGTACCTCTTTCCCTCACTCTTACAGATGAGGAAGAGACTGCGAGCCGCGTTGAAAGGAACCACGTTTGCCGACGCTGCCATGGCTGCTACAACAGCAGCAGCCGTGCAATCAGCCAAAGCAGCACAAGCAGCAGCATGTCTCTGTCCTAAATGGAGCTTACATCTCTCTCCCATCTCTTTCGCAGATGAGGAAGAGACTGCGAGCCACGTTGAAAGGAACCAAATTTGCCGATGCTGCCATGGTTGCAACAGCAGCAGCAGCCGTGCCATCAGCGGCACCAGCAGCAGCAGCAGCAGAGGGCATAGCTAACGTCATTAACGAGCTAATGGCACGGGTGTCCTGTGAGTGAAATTTCAAACCCCTCAAACCTCTGACACCCCTCAGAAGTAGCAGCAGCAGGACCAGCAGCAGCAGAGGGCATAGCTGACGTCATTAACGAGCTCATGGCACGAGGTACCTTGTGAGTGATAGGCGTCCGTTCTCCTTTCATACGGCCAGAAAGGAAGGGAAGAAGAGACCTTGTTGGTTTCCTCCCTTTCGCTGCACTCCCTTTCTCTTCCTTTTGCATTACCCTCCCTTTCCTTTCCTCTCCCTTCCTTCCCGTAAACTTTTCATTTCCCCCCTTTCCTTTGATTTCTTTTTCCAGCCATATCTCGGTCGTCAGAGGGGCCTTTCCTATTTGCCATAGACCACTGCTTTCCGATCAAAGGCCAGGTGATTTCAACCAGCCATCAGGTTATCTCAACAAGCCGTCAGGTGATTTCAACCAGCCGTCAGGTGATTTCAACCAGCCGTCAGGTTATCTCAACAAGCCGTCAGGTGATTTCAACCAGCCGTCAGGTGATTTAACAGGTGCATGTAAGTCAGGGGTTCCTACATGCATATGCATGCACACGTCCTCTTGAAGGTGTATTCTTGAGGCATCACGCTCACCCTTATGCGTCCTCTTTACAGGTATCCTCTTAACGCCTCACACTCTTCTTGCCACGTCCTCATTTGCCGAACACTTGTTTGCAACTCAGGGCACAGTGATGACAGGGACAGTGCTGAGAGGCCACGTGGCAGTGAATGATTCGCTGGAGCTCCCTCTCCTCAAGCTGCAGAAGAAGGTACGTCAGATTTTCAATTCGACTTACAAATCAGATGTTGTGCAGAGGTGACTTTTGAGTCGACTCAAAAGTCAATTCGATACGAATCAGATGTGGTGCAGAGCATGTCTTAGGAGTCATCATAGCATGTCTCATCACAGCACTTCATCTCCCATGATCCTTACCTCTCAACGTGTGATTCTTAACAGTGCCAGCATCCCATCCCACCCACCACGTGATATCCTTCCTCCTGCATGTAGGTCAAGAGCATGCAGATGTTTCACAGACCAGTCACTCTCGCCTCTCAGGTGCGTGCGAGGTGACCTTTGACTCGACTCAAAAGTCACGCAGGTCAAGAGCTTGCAGATGTTTCACAGACCAGTCACTTGGGCATCCCAGGTGCGTGCGTGCGACCATGCATGTGGCTGGTGTGTGTGTGTGCTTCATTGGAGATGCATCAGAGCTGCTCTCCTTCCCAGGTCAAGAGCATGCAGATGTTTCACATACCAGTCAGTCGTGCATCCCAGGTGCGTGTGTGCGTCCATGCATGTCAGGCATGTGACTGGTGTGAGGCATGTGACTGGTGTGTCAGGCATGTGACTGGTGTGTCAGGCATGTGACTGGTGTGTCAGGCATGTGACTGGTGTGTCAGGCATGTGACTGGCGTGTCAGGCATGTGACTGGTGTGAGGCATGTGACTGGTGTGTCAGGCATGTGACTGGTGTGTCAGGCATGTGACTGGTGTGTCAGGCATGTGACTGGTGTGAGGCATGTGACTGGTGTGAGGCATGTGACTGGTGTGTCAGGCATGTGACTGGTGTGTCAGGCATGTGACTGGTGTGTCAGGCATGTGACTGGTGTGTCAGGCATGTGACTGGTGTGAGGCATGTGACTGGTGTGTCAGGCATGTGACTGGTGTGAGGCATGTGACTGGTGTGTTAGGCATGTGACTGGTGTGTCAGGCATGTCACTGGTGTGTCAGGCATGTCACTGGTGTGTCAGGCAAGTGACTGGTGTGTCAGGCATGTCAGGCCATCTCAGGTCAAGAGCATGCAGATGTTCCACAGACCAGTCACTCGTGCATCCCAGGTGTGTACATCCGACATGCATGTCAGGCATGTGGCTGGTGTGCGTGTGTGTGTGCTTCATTGGAGGTGCATCAGAGCTGCTCTCCTTCCCAGGTCAAGAGCAGGCAGATGTTCCGCAGACCAGTCACTCTCTCGCCTCTCAGGTGCGGGTGCTTCTCTGCAGGGTTTTTTTTTAACCTTATTCCATGTGCTGCAGGGTGTTTTTTTAGCTTATAAATGCCGTTTGTTCATGTGCTGGCAGGGCGACCGTGTGGGTCTGTGTGTCACCCAGCTTGACCCGAAGCTCATCGAGAGAGGAATTGCAGTTACGTGCCATGCTGCTCACCTAAGAGGTTTTTCTAGGGGATGGGAGATGGGAGCGGGAAGGAGGGAAACGTTATGTTATTTACATGCCGTGCGTACTAAAGGCAGGCAGCATGTGTTTGTTGTGATTTATTTTGAGGCGCCTCAAAATACACCTCAATACTAAAGGCAGCGCAGCATGTGTCTGTTGTGATTCAATGTGCTCTTTAGAAATCGTAACACTGTCTCACACACTCTTTAACCCCACACAACACCCACGTGTATGAAGATCGGTTTTGAGACGTTTCAAGACACGTGTATGAAGATTGGTTTTGAGACGTCTCAAAACCATTCTTCATACACGTGGCTACTCTTTAGAAATCTTAACATGGTCTCACACTCTCTTCAACACCACACAACACCCCCCTGCCTTGTAGCATGCAGGCTGCTCCAGGTTCAGTCCCTCTTCTCTCTGCTGCGATCGCAGCCGTTCATCCCATCCGATTCTTCAAAGGGCCCCTCACGTCAAACTCTAAGTTTCATGGTAAGTCCAGCCCAGCTCTCACTTTCCCCCTTTCCGACTCTCTCACCCGCTGAAGAAGAGTTTTGAGACGTCTCAAAACTCTTCTTAAGTCCAGCCCAGCTCTCACTTTCCCCCTTTCCGACTCTCTCACCCGCTGAAGAAGAGTTTTGAGACGTCTCAAAACTCTTCTTAAGTCCAGCCCAGCTCTCACTTCCCCCTTTCCGACTCTCTCACCCGCTCTTCTCTGTGATGCTGCCTTTGTTTGGGTTGACTCAATTCAGGCAGTTCAAAAGACTCTGCTTCTGTCTACCTCCCTCTTATCACCCTCCCCTTTCTTCCTTTTGAGACGTTGGGTCTCAAAAGTCGTCTACCTCCCTCTTTTGAGAATTCTCAAAAGTCACTCCCATATATCGGGTCTCAAAAGTCGTCTACCTCCCTCTTTTGAGCATTCTCAAAAGTCACTCCCATATATCGGGTCTCAAAAGTCGCCTACCTCCCTCTTATCACCCTCCCCTTTCTTCCCCGCGAGATCCGGACGTGGCTCACTGAGTCGTCTACCTCCCTCGTATCACCCTCCCCTTTCTTCCCAACGCAGTAACGGTGGGTCACTTCACTGCTATGACAACTTTCACCCTTTTTTTTAGCTGATTCCGATCAAGACTCCCTCTCCTCACTTCCTCGTGAGTTGAGTCGATTTTTGAGTCGACTAAAAAATCGACTCAACTCACGCGCTTTTTTTGAGCTGATTCCGATTCAGACTCCCTCTCCTCACCTCCTCCTGTAATGGGGGGGTTGAGGGATTCCCCCGCCCCACCTCCGACCACCCGCCCCACCTCCGACCACACGCCCCACCTCCGACCACCCGCCCCACCTCCGACCACCCGCCCCACCTCCGACCACCCGCCCCACCTCCGACCACCCGCCCCACCTCCGACTACCCGCCCCACCTCCGACCACACGCCCCACCTCCGACCACACGCCCCACCTCCTACCCCTCAACCCCCCCATTACAGTAACGGTGGGTCACTGCCATGACAACTGTCACTATATTTTGAGCTGATTCAGACTCCCCTTTCCCCTACCTTCTACCTCCCTCCCCCCACCTCCCACCTCCCTTTCCCTCCTTCCCTCTCCCAACTCCCCACCACAGTAACGGTGGGTCACTCCACAGTCATGACAACTGTATCCCCTCCCCCCACCTCCTACCTCCCCCAACCACCTAACTCATACCACCCCTCCCACCTCCTAGCCCAACTCCCCACCACAGTAACGGTGGGTCACTCCACGGTCATGACAAGTGTCACCTTCTTTTCAGCTGAATCCTTTCCCCCACCTCTCCCAACCCCACCCCCTGCTTCTCTCTCCGTCCCTTTCCCCCACCTCTCCCAACCCCACCCCCTGCTTCTCTCTCCGTCCCCTTCCCTCTCCCTCCACCCAACCCCCACCACAGTAACGGTGGGTCACTCCA